ATATAAAATGTAAAAAAGTGGCTGTATCAGGGGTGGGTCCATCACTTTGTACCCACAGGACTCCCTCTCAGTTTCCACAGCCAGAAGTATCTCAGTGGAACTTGTCTTTCCAAAGCACAAATTTAAAACCATTGCTTTAGCCTGCAGTTCGTACTGCCTGGACTACAAAGTAATATACATTTATTCAGCACATGTGTATTGAGCACCTACTGTGTGCCAGTACCATCGGTGAACTCACATTCTACAGGACAGATCAATAATGAATAATAAACAGAATGAATACATTAGAAAGAGATAAGAGCTATAAAAAAATAATGAAGGATACAGCTAGAGGATTCAGATTCCTATTTATAATTCTACCTGCCATGGGTCAACAGAGGCCTCGTTGAGGGACCCAAGCAAACTGTACTAATTTTGCCGCTGTGCTTACAAGAGTGGTGCATGAACTCATCGTAAAGGTTGCCTCTGAGACCCACCACCCGCACGTTTGTCTGCAAGGGTACCAAAGACAATTCATGATGGTTATTGATCCTGCAGCTCACCTGGCCTGGCCCGCCTCTCTCAGATCAGCAGGAGACATGAAGCCATACACTCGTTTCTATACCTGCCATCGTTCAGCGATCAGTCAAGGTCTTGGAGTCAGTATCAATTATTCACTCACTCATCCACCAGTCGTGTGTTTATTGTCTACCGTGTTGGTTTGGGACCCTGTACCAGGGCTCAATCGTATTACTCAAGAAGTGTGCAACCTAGTCAGAGGTAAACATATGTGAAATACCAGTCCCAAAACAACATGCTAGGGCAAAACAAAGTTATACCCCTGGTTAATGAGAATCCACAGGGCATCAGCCTAGGCCTGGGGTAACATAAGGCCACTGACACAAAGGATGAAAAAGTCTTCAGCAATGGCATCCCGCCCTCCTGCCTAACAAATTCATTAGCTGAATAATTACCCTCCTCAAGTCTGAACTACAAATAGCAAGTTCTGACTCATGGGGTTTTTTTTCTTTACCAAATAATTGTTAATTGAAGTAAATTGTTACTTTCAGATATTCTTGGACTCTGCATTAGTGAAATATTTTCCTTTGTTTACAAAGTAATTTATTTTGTTATATGTTCATTGCGCATGACACTTCATCGTGCTGAAATGCATTTTCTTGATTGTCTGTGGAGTAAACCCAGGGGTGATAAATGTGTTGCTATATTTTGTGGACTGAAAAATGTGTTGAGTAGAAGAGCAATAGAGGAAGGGCAGAAGGGAAGGGAAGGAGAGACAGGTACATAGAGAGAAAGACAGAGAGCGAGCAAAAATAAGTCCTACAGCAGGGAGAGCAATGTGTTTTGCCCATGCGATAAAGCATCCGCAAAGGTTATATCCAGGAGATGTGGCACTGCGCATGCCAGGAAGGCCAGGAGTCAGCCTGCAGACAGTCAGTTCTGATGTCTTTGTCTGGAAGCAAGTTACCCAAAAGAGCTGGATAAATGGCAAGATAGTGTACAATGGATTTTCTTTTCATAGGGCCCAGACTTTTCAATTGAGAGATCAAAGAGGAAATCTCAGAACGGAAACCAGATTTCAAAGGATGTCACCAGATCTGTGCTCATAGGCCTGGGTGGTTCCTTTATTCTCACATCCCACCCTGGTCTTTCAGGATGTCATGCAGATTTCTTCTGGCTGTGACCCTGCAGCCTGAGAGGGTGTGTGCTCCTATGAGTTGGCAAGCTCTTTCTGCTTGCAGGAAACAGCAACGTTTCACCCTGAGGAACTAGTTCTCTAGCCCACAATTCCAGTGCACTGAGGACGGCCCCAAGTGCTCCCGTGGCTCTTTTCTGTCCACCCCCTGCTTTCTTACCCACTCACTCATCCACTCCAGATAGCAGCCTCCGAAAATAGTTAGGGCTTCCTTCTGGACAAGACCTTACTCACCACCTCACCCTTTCAAGCTAAAGAAACTCCATCTCAAATGTTCCTGGGACTGTGTCTTGTGACACAAACGGGCACACAGCCAGTTCTTAAGTGGCTCCACCCTCCATTTTCTCCTTGTCTATCTAGATAGGTGGTCGTCAATCCTGGGCGCTCCTCAACCCATCCAAGCCGGCAGGCTGAGTCTAACAGTGCCAAGGACAGGAACAAATGCTTGTTTCTTTGCCTGGTTCTACTTTAAAAGCTTGTTTTCATAAACAGAAGAGCCACACAGAATCTATAGATTGCGCTTTCTGAGAATGACTTTGAGGGACAATTTATAGAAAGGCACAGTTTGGAGACCTTTTCTCAAAGTACATTACATTTTAGCCATAATCTCAGATGATAACTTCAAACATTCCTTGCTTCCCTTATAATCTATTAGTATTGTTTATAAATGTACCTATATACACTCACTAATTTTTTCATATTTTCTTTCTTAAGAAAATATGCTCCTTAGGTTTATCATTCTGGTGTAAAATACTTCTTTCTTCTTTCTGAATGTGTTAAATTTATCTTTTTAATCCTTCCTTCCAGTATTTGGTGAATAAATCTATATACAGTATGAGATTTTGATTCATTCATGTATTTATTTAATAAATAATGAGTACTTACTCTTTATAGCTAAAATCTTTTAATTTCAATGCAGTGTGTCTTCCCAGAGCTGTATTTTTCTCCCCTAGGTTATCTGCTTGGCCTTGACTGCTTCACAGGTGCCATTACCTGTCTTAATGACTGACAACCAGGATTGCCCCCAGCAACCTACCAGTTTTAATGCAAAGATAGAATAACATTCTCTTTTGTTCGCAATACTCCTTTTAATGGTGGCCTCCTTTCTGTTATTACGTTACCTCTTTACTACTCATTATTGGTTACTATTATTACATCTGTTTCATAAGTAACACCTGAGTATTTAGGGCTATGACTACTTTGGGGTACTTTCCCTCAGTGCCAGTTTTTCCCTTTCCTCATACTAAATTGCATATGGCATTTCCAAAGCCATTTGCAAAGTCTGGAAAGATCATTGTTTAGCATCTTACTATCTGAAAGATTTTAACCTTTCCTGCTTCTTCAGTTCTTGATTACCTATTAACTATTATGTCAAATAAAAATTTTTGCAAAATCAATTATTTTCTAAATCCCTATGGATTCTATCTGATCACAGAGAACACAGCAGTGTGTCATATTAAACCCACTAATAATTCATAAGCCTCCTTCAAAACGATAAGCTCCCTAACTACTGAAACTTTTCTGACATACGGTTTTTCAACTTCTTTAACCTTATCCTTTATCTTTCCATCAGAAGAGTTTTTAATACTAAGAAGCTCAGATGATATTATTAGAGATGAAAATAGTTGCCTAGGTATAAGCCAAATCCTTTTCTAAGCAAAGCAGTTGAAAGTATAACTTTTTAGTATGGATGATTTCAAAGCATGAAATAAGACTGCTATGTCTCCACCAAAACCGATGTTCCCTTCTTCTTGGTACACACCCGGACTTCATTTTGCAGCCTTCCTTCCATTTCAGTGTGGCCACATGCCCCAGCCCTAGCTATCATCCATCCCATTGAAGCCTTAAAAGAATGGATCTATTCTTACCTCCAGTTGGTGTAATTTGGCTAGTAAAACAGCTTTTCTCTCAGAATCTGGTCTCTCTGCCAGAAGAGATGATTTCCATAATCCAACGAGCAGATGCCGAGGCTGCCCAGGCATGAGGTAGAGTTCCTAGAGAGAGAGAAGGGTGCTGTATTACCAGCCCATTGGTTCTGTGATTTTAAGAAACGAGAAAGGACTTTTGTGTGGTTTAGTAGCAAGTGTTCTGGTGAACATGATGTCCCTAGGTCTAATTCATTGACTTTTTTTTTTTTCTCCCCAGGCCTTTTCTCTCACAGTTGCTACGGTACATACTGCTTCTGCGGAAGAAGAAACGATGAGAGAGATAACTGTGAGTTTTCACAAATAAATGTAATCAGGAGCACAATAAATTATACATCTTCATCATTCCTAATATTCCCCCATGTCCTTGGTGGCCAACCAGTGAGTCCCCTTGATCTGTTTTCTGCAGAATATCACATAAGTGAAATCACAGAGTTTGAATGCTGTCTTTTGATAATGGCTTCTTTCATTAATTACAGCATTTAAGCTTTATTCTTGGTTTTTATATTATTATCACTCCCCTTTTCACTGAGTTGTGTTGTTATATTGATATATCAAAGCTTGCTTATCCTATAGTTGAGAGATTTTTTTTATTTTTGTTAATCTAAAAATGGTAAAAATGCATGTACAAATTTTTTTTTGTGAATGTAGGCTTTATTTAACTTGACTGACAAATGAAATAAAAATAACAAGCAATGAGATTGCTGGGTTGTATGGTAACTGTATGTTTATAAGAAACTATCAAAGTGTTTTCCATAGTTCTTTTCTTAATTATCACCAGAGTTCTGGGTTTATTTTTATAGTTGTACTCATTTTCTTAATGTCATAAAGTAATTTGCTTATTCTCAGACATCAAATAATGGAATTATTTATGTGGTTTCGTTTGCTTAATGTAATGTTTATAAAATGCATTCATGTTATTCCATGTAACAGTAGTTTATTCTTTTTGCTGCTGAATAGTATTCTGCAATATGAATGCAAACTTGTTTTGTTCATTCATTTGTTGATGGGCATTTGGGTTGTAAGAAACAGCAGGGAAGTTGCAATAGTTTTGTGGTATGTATGTTTGTTAATCAGCAGTTTGCACAATAAAGGTGGGTTTAAAATAAGTAAATACTTTCTTAGTGCATGGTGAGAGATATAGGTCTAGTTTTAATCTTTGGCAAGTTGAAACCCAGTTTTTCCAGTTCCATTTATTAAAGAGGTTGTCTTTCCTCTTTGGCTCCTTTGTCAAAGATGAGGTGGCTGAGTGTGTCTGGGCTTCTTTCTGCATCTTCTAATCTTTTCCCTGGTCCTCGGGTCTGTTTCTTTGCCAATATCATGCTTTGTGTATCACAGTAACCTTGTAGTATAGTTTCAAGTTGGGCATCGTGATCCCCCCTACCTTGTCTTTATTGCCTAAAATTGCTTTTTCTATTCTAGTTCTCTTCTTGTTCCAAATGAATTTTTGTATTGTTTTCTCAAGGTCTGTGAAGTATGCTGCTGGGATTTCAATTGGGATTGCACTGAATCTATATAGCAGTTTTGGAAGTACGGCCATTTTTACTATGTTGATTCTTCCTACCCAGTAGCAAGGGATGTCTTTCCATTTTCTGATATCCTCTTCAATCTCTTTTCAGAGTGGAGGTCTTTGATTTCTTTTGTTAGGTGATTTCCTAGGTATTTCAATTTTTTGGATGCAATTGGGAAAGGAATTGCTTATCCCACACTTCTCTCTCAGCGAGACTTTTTTTTGTGTGTACAGAAAAGCTATTGATTTTTTTGTGGTTGACCTTGTATCCAGCTTTTTTGCTGAATTTGGTCATTAAGTCTAGAAGACTTTTGTTGGAGTTGAAGGGAGGGCAGAGGAATAGCAAAAAAATAAGAACCAAGATGGATTATGTAAAGGAGCAAATTTCCAATGATAAATGTCATTACATTGTATACCTTAAATGTACCAATAAAATTAATTTTTAAAATAAAACTAAAATAAGTTAATACTATTTAAAGTTGGTAGATGGTTATTTTCCGAGCTAAAAGCAGGAGGAAACTTTTCTCATAAAACAGGAGTTGAGGTAGAATCGCTTTCTAAAGTGCAAAATTGATGGTCAACATTTTCAAACAGCTAAAATTCCTGTAGTTTAGGCTGTTATGATTAAAGCTCCAGTGAATACTCTTGTCTTCGTGTTAATATATATTAAACATTTGTGCATATCCATATGGAAATACAATTACAAAATTATATAATAGCCATGTGTTTAATATTGGAAACTCCTACACCCAAATTTATAGGCTTTTTTCTTAAAGAGAATCCTTAAATTTTTGGGAGCTTCAGGTCTCATAAAGCTGAGTAGTCACTACCAAGAGTATTTCAGCTGAGGTCAAGCTCATCATCAAATCTTCTAGTGAGTTGAATCCAAACACACACGGCAAGTGTAGGAGTCCTCAGTCATATTTTCCTGAGTTCAGCCTCCTGCTGGCAGGTAATGGTAGGCAGAGCGTGGCGGGCAGCCTAAAACATGGCCTGTAGTGAGTGGACCTACACATTCTGAGAGAAGAGACAGTTGTCCTAGTAAGTCAGGACCATGATCCCTCCTGGCTAACAGTTAGGTCCTGAAGTTTATAAACCTTTGGATCTTGATATATCTGGATCATGGCATGCACCCTCATCTTCACTCGCAGGATGTTGGCAGAGGCCCAACAAGACATTACAATATATTTGTAATGAAAGTTCTCTCAATTTCCAGGAAACAGTGCCTTCCTATCTATCCATCATAGTTCAAGATGCAGGAACTGAAGTGTGGATTGTATGCATTCAGGACTTTGTGTGTTAGCAAATCCATCCCTGCACCACTAGGTGAAGACTAGTCAGTCAACAGCTTTGCCTCAGCTACAGTCTTTCTGCACATCTCAAGGAGCTAAATACTTCCCCATCCCTGGCTGTGGTCTAACTCCTGGGTCAGTTTGTTTCCCAGCTTTGCTGGATTGCCTTACACATGGTTCATTTCAGGAAATGGCCCCGTGATGAAAGACATGAAGTTTGTCTGTGGTTATTGCTACTCGCTGTGCACCAAAAGAATGCTCACCTCACCATGTCCTCTGAAGAACACACCTCTCATGCTTGGGAACCTGATTACAATGGTCTGATTAACCCACCAAGGGCTCAGATGGGTTTTAGTCAGTGCCAATTTACCTGAGAACTAGTCTTTCAGTTAATCCTATCAAAGGTTGTAGGCTAAAGGGGATGAGATTACAAATCCAAACATATTTACACAGATGTCTTTTTTTTGGACCTGCCACACACAGCCAGGATTTCATTTGTATCTTGTAACAAAATCACAATTATCACAGACCTACCTTGTTAGAAATTTAAGACCAGGATATTGAGAGAAAGGGGAGTTGGGGGCAGGGTAGAAAAATAAAATGGGTAGAGTTTAAATGGGGATGGGAAAGTTCCTGGGGAAAGGCTTCTAGCAGCAATCAGCTGAGAACAGCAGGTCTGTGTTCAGACTGTGTGGTTATTTTCTGATTAGGCTGGGTCATTTGTCTAATCAGATTTTCTGCTCCTGTGCTATCCAGTTTATTAGGCCCTTTGTACATGTGCAGCTTAGGGTCCCCTCATGGTCACAAGATGATTCAAAGTAACAGCCAACAAAGCCACTTTCCATGGAATAGTATTTATTAGGTTTATTCCAAGTCAGGCCCACTGATTCTGAATACGGAAAAGGAGAGATTTTCTTTTTCTCATGTTTAAGTCTAATGAGAAGTCTAGGTTTCATAGAATCTAATGTGAAAAAAGTTTCTTGATTACTCAGAAAAGATACACTGGGTGGAGCCTGATCTAGTAGGATTCCTTCCACAAATCTCAGTATTGCTTAAAGCTTACCATGTGCCACACATGGTGCTGGCCAGTGGTCACAGAATGATGGAGGGAAGGTTGGATGAAGGACTTATGGCCAGTATCTATCAATGACATGGTTTCTGCCAAAGAAGAGAAAATCCTTCTCTTTCATAAAAAAGTGCACACATGTAGGGGACACAGGAAGTAATCTTTTGTATTGGCCTTGTTCTGCCAGAGGTAAAGTGACATCAGAAAAAAACAAAAAACAAAAACCTTTTCCCCTAAGGGTCAAGTCGGTTTTTGTGTTTTTCTCCTGCCCAGCCCACAAAATAAAGTATTCATGTAAGCTGGCTTTGAAGACAAAGTAAAATGACACAAGATTTTCACATAGCCTTTCTATACTTTTAAACTTCCCTATTTGGGGCCATAGGAATGATGGGAACAACCTGTAAAAATAGTACTTTAAAGAAAATGTATTAAAGTTTAGGATAACTGCCTCGTATAGTTGTACACACAGTCATCTTATTTCAGATTCCATGACAAGCAAAATATGGCTATTTAGCAGAGAAGGCAAATTCTGTCCTGTGGCTAAGAGGAATTGAAGTCCAAATGATATGTGAAAATAAAATTCAATTTATCTTTAAATGCCATCTGCAGATGGTTTCTAGCATGCCTTCAGCTATTTTATAAAGTCACACACTCCACAAGGACTTTTTGAAGATTGTGTGTACGTTAAATTTTTAGAACTCCTTCCCAGAGAGAGAGCCTTACACATTTCCTCTTTGCTATTAAGTCCGGCCATTCCGAGGGCACAATTTCTCATGATTTGAAAAGAAAAATAAATCCTGTTTACTTGTGAGTTCTTCCTGTTTTTGAATCTGTGCTTCAGAAATAGAAATTTGTCATAGGTCTCACATTTAAGAATGTGGAGTCTACGCCCGGTGAAAGTAGCTTGGGAAAGTAAGTAGCGGAGACAGCATGAAGCCGTTCTGCTTTGGGAATCAACTCAGAAATGGCAAGTTCCAGCTCCGTCAACCATGTATCATTGATCAAGATCCAGTTACTCCATGACAGGCCCTGAGCTAGATTCTGAAGCCACAAAAACAAAAAGTCCACTTCCAAAGAGTTCAAATACTCTAAAAATAAATTCTGGATGTCTTGAAAGGCATGTGCTTCACCTCCTCTGTTCTGGTGAGGGGGGCCCTCCTCAGCTCCGCCTCTTTGCTCTAGTTTCTGAAATCTGCTCTGAGTGGTTGTCAGAATGCCAAACACTTGCAGAATTCATTCTAGATACGGATCCACAAACAGGAGAATAGAAAAGCAAATATGAATCACATAAGAGAAGGAAGGAGACCTACAAAGTCAGGTTTCAGTTCCAGTATTGATGTGGGCCAAAACTCAGAGCAGACTGAGAGCTGGTACATGTCCTGCCTCCCTACCTATTTCCTAGCAGATGGAACCCAAGGGAA